ATACCTTTATATAACTTATTAAAATTGTTAAACATCTAGTAAATACCAGCAAATAACACTAAAAACAGATTAAGGAGAAAATTACTTTCGAGGTTTTGTCCTAGTTCTTAATGAGTACAACATACTGTATAAATATGTTTCTAGGTTTGTTTGGGTTTTTTTTTTCATTTGCTAAGGTCAGAATATTTAGGAAGGGTTTCCTTCAAAAATAACTTTCAGAAGTATTATTTAGTATAAATACACCATTTCTATAAATACTGGATCAAAAAAGAGGATTTATAGAATTTGAAGTGGGCTTTTTTTATGTTTGTTTTGGTTTATACCTATGATTTTATTAATGTTGGGAATTTGTGCTATAGAAACTCTCTTCACTTATGCAAATTAGTAATGCACTCTTAGAGTTGTATCTGGATACTGAGAGGTTATGTGGTTTGCCCAAGGTCATATAGCAACTATTTGTCAGAAAAACTTGAATACAAGTCTTTCTGATGGCAAGCCTTCTTTCTTATCCCATGCCATGCTATCTTTCCAATTACTTTCAATGATTATTCAATCCAAATTATTTTCATGTCCTCTTTAACTTAACTTGAATGTGAAACTGTACCTATAGCCATACCTGTTTCACACAGTATTTTAGGGAAAGCATTTAAGATTCTTATGTAATACCAAGGCTCTCTATCCTACCCTCTCTTCAGGTATAATGAATGTATTTTCTACCTACTCCCATGGGTGGCATCTTCTACATTTCTATTTTTTCCACTAAATATTAAGTTTTAGTACCCTGAGGTTAGTTATACTCAACTTTCCTTGGACTCACATGCAGTTAACAAAAGTAACCTCATACAACTACAGCACTAACTAAGCAATATTTACCCACACTGTGGAATCTACACACACCCTAACACAAAGCTTGATGCCACTGTAGTCTAGCAATAGCTTGACCATAGTGCCATACCATATATGCCTCTCTTTATAACAAACATATTGCTATTTTTGATTCCACAGTTAAACAACATCTTTTAATTCAAAAGTATAATAGTTGCATTTCGAGGTACAAAAAGCCACGTTATAGGAACAAAATATTGTCAAGAAAAGTGCCTAATGAATTAAACTAATCATCATCACACAGAAAAAACAAAATTCATTTTGTTCATTCAACAGATACTTGTTGAGAGCCTACTATGTGTAAGGCACTGTGGCATTACTTTTATCTTAAAGACCTAAATTGATATAAAGAACCCTAACAGGGGCCAGGCTGTTCTATATTCCATAAGATCTTACCTTATAGCCCCTAGTAAAACGTTGCACACCCCATGGGTACTCAATTAAATATTAATATAGCTGAGTTGAATTATTCATTTGGTTTCCACTACAGCAGCTTCATCTTTATCATCCACTTCCAATTAGGAGACCTGTGTGTGGCCAGGGTGGTCTGTTTTAAAGATTAGAGTACATAAAAACTTCTTTTTTCAAACATTTCAATTGTACTAACCAAACTATCTTGCTTCTAAGTACCAAGAAATCAAGTTTCTACAATAGAACTTTGAAAGAAGGCTGACAATTGTATATACAGTTTTAAAGATGTATCCAAGAGAGACATGCAAGCACAGGATAGCAAATCAGGGCTTCAGATAAACTTAGTTGAAAGACTCAGTTCTAAATATTACTATGCTTCATTGAAGTCAGAGTCAAATACCTCTAGAGATATCTAGCCTCTTAGCCAATATTTCTAATTGCTCATTTAAATGTTATTTTGAGATTTAATACCCATAGTACAGAAATTCAAATCATTTTTACCTATACATTCACATACACAAATGGAACACATTACTGAAAAATGTCAATAAAGGAGAGTCTAGTCTGTCTACATACTGAATCCTATTTGCTCACTGATTCCTCCTATGAAATTAGAGATCTGTTCTTCTGGAGGAAAAAATTTACCTCAAAGACAAAATAAAATCTACACAAACTTCTACAGAATATAGTTAAAGGAAACCAATCTGACAACAATACTATGTTGCAAAACAAAAAATACTAAAACACTAATCTGTGATTAATCTTATCAACTGATATAAAAAATGTTATAAGCATAAGACATGAGGAACAATACTTCAATCTGCAAAATCATCTTGTTGCTTCAGGCTCTTATCAACAGAAAAAGCAAATCAAGGAAATAAAAGTTCTGCCTGTAGGTATTCTCCAAATGTTTCTCCTTTCCACCCACTGCTGACTGAAGCACTAACCAAAGTACTAACCAAACTTCCAATTGTCCTTTAACTCTTTCTCTCATCTTTCCAAATTCTATTTCTAAAATGAGAAAAAGATATTTACTGATCTGAAAATCCTTTTGACAAGTATTGAAGTAAGCCTTCTGACCTCCCATAACTATGTCTTCAAAAAATTAGTATCCAAAGCCAAACTGATAACTGGGCTTACTTCTTTTCTGTCTCGCCTTGGCCAGGTCCAAAAAAACTGGTTACAAAGAAACACACAAAATCCATTTTTCAGAATTTCATGTTTACTGAATCTCTCTACAACTTTAAGAATTATTTCAAAATTCCACAAGGAATATATTTTCAACCAAATATGTCAGGAACTGATGCACTGAGAAAGTTAACTTAAATCATTAACTTCATCAAGTATAAAGGTAGAGCTCTACATAAGACATAAATTCCATTTTCCTAGAAAAAGGAACCCTAATGGAATCATTAATGTAAATAACATAACACTGTATATTCCCAAACACAGCTCAAATTCTCTGTTTAGCCTTTCTGATCTCTTTGGCCTTAACAGTTTCAGCTAAAATTAACATTTGAACATATTTTTAATTCAAAGGGCTTTTTAGCTCTCTAAATACCAAAGACTCAAAGAATACCTTTTAAAAATGTGGAGAGCTGACTTCAACCTATCTAAAAACAGTATTTTCTTCAAAATAATTACAAATTACTGCAAAAATACACTTCTCTACATACTAGAACTATATTATACTAAAACATTCTTCTGTTAACAGATTGGGGAAAATGTTTTAAGATTTTGCTCTCTCAAATATTTATAAAATACACTAACTTCAGCAGCCATGAAGTTGTCCTCCTAAGTTAATTATTGCTGGTGAAAGGTCTTTAAAAAGTTATTCCAGTTCTCCCCCAAAGTTACACTGATTCTTTCTTTTTTTTAAACTACCCTCTAGCTCAGGCATAAGCCATATGCATGCCTCAAGTTGGGCAGTAGGATATAGCAGAAAGAAGATTAAGGGTTCAAGTCCTGGTCCTGCAACTTACTAGATGAGTTGATCCCTTTACCTCTCTGGTCTCAATTTCTTTGTCTACAACATGAGGATAACAGTATCTTCACAGTATCTTATCAAAACAATATCTTATATGGTTGCCGTAGAAAGTGATATAAAAAGCATCAATAAAATTCTTTAAAATGTGCTTTGTAGTTCTGGAAAAAAGCACTCTATAAACATAATCTATTGCCTAAACAAATGCATGTTACTCTAGATAATATTCACAAGAAAGAAAAATGTGTCAGTTTAAACCCACAAAGGAAATGATCTGCATTTGTTCCTAGAATTCTACTACAAAACTGGTTCTGCCAGTGAAGGATACCACTACCCAGCTATGTACAGGTAAAAAAACTGACCCTTCAGGGAATTAAAACACCTATAATATCCCCCTAGTCCTACTTCACTTATACAGAAGAAAATTAATGTCTATTTCCAGAGACAAAGGCAAAGATTTTAAAACCCTGCATATTGGAGTAGCTACACTACAGCTATATTTTTATGGCCACATGTTGGCAAGAATATTAGTCAAAAAATTTCATAAACCCAATTTTTAAATGGATTTTTCAGATAATGGCTATTTCAGATAAAACAAGAGGACTATAAGCAAAGTTAGCCCATTCAAATGAATAATAACCTAGTTAGGTTACTAATAGTTTTGGAGAGAAACAAAATTGAAATAAATATGGCATAAGAAATGCTTAAGTGAAAATAAGACAGGGACCTCAAACCATCCAGTAAACATAACAGCATTATTTTGGTTTGAATCTTCCTCTCCAAACAGGTTTTAAAGACTTACTTAACGTGAACTAAAAATTATGTGATCAAGACCAAACAGGTGATAAGTATGATGATAGTCTATGGAAATAATACTTCATACATTTAAAAGAAACCCAATATTGAAATCAGTACTAACAAATGTCTTTAAAAAAAGAACTCAACTTACAAAATACTGGGAGAGGAAACATATAATTTCTTCCAAATAAAAATGCTTCTCATCTTTACAATGTTTCTACCTTTGTCTAAATTTACAGTGTAGAAAACAAATCTTCACAAAAGTGACAGTATGAAAACAAAATCAATCAATTGTAAGTTTTGAACTGCCCACAAGACTTAAAATAAGTATTCTGTTTCTAATTTCTGAAAATGCAGAGATATAACCATTATTGCCAAACCTGAAATTTCACTTATCACTGTCAAAGCTTTATGATAGTCTATTTACCAGTCAACTCAGTTGCAGTAATTCTTGACTAATTTATCAAGAAGTTTTCTCAGAAATGAGCAATTTGCAAATTTGGCAGTTTCTGGACCTGTTTGTGTATGTATATATGTATAGACACACACAAATGAAACACCACACACACACACACACACACACAAATGAAACACCCCCTAAAAGGAATACATACGTTTTTTCCTATGTTCTACTAAACCTACAGCCTGCTTTGCTGAGCATTTGCAAAACCAGTTGTCCCCAAGTAAAACTGTGACTTCATTGGTATTAACAAGCTGTCCTGGCATGAAGGCAAGAGGACCAAAAGGTACCTGTAGTCCAAAAGGAAAAAAAGTGTTAAAAAAAACATGTCATAAAGTGGACATATTATCCATACCAAATAACTTGGAAAATTTAAAAGTCATTTTAAATGAGTATAGTAAATGAAAAAAAAAAACCTCAACTGCACATTTTTTTTAAATTTAAGCTTAGTATTTTAATCTGATGACTTATTTTTGTTTTCTGAATGAATGTATAAGTGGAAAAAATTCAGACCAAGTTTTCTATCTTTGCGCTATGAAGCTATGATTTTGGTCAACAGATTTTTGTTGAATAATTTCAAACTCTCATTTTTCATTGGGTTAAAAACACAAGATCACAAATGTATACATTTTTTGTTCTCACAATGATCCTGAAGAAAGCAGACTAGCTATGAAATATTAATTTACAAAGCATCACTCTAGAAATCAGCTTTATGAAGAACAAAGTGAAAATTAATTCTAACAAAACAAATGCTTTTATGAAGCACATTTTAAAAATAAATAGCTTTAACAAGTTTACACAGGGGAGAATCATATTTACAAGATCTTAATTCTGGCATCTGTACACCAAAGTATATAACTGAGGAATACACTTAGAATAAAAGACTCAAGTTCAAGAAATAAGAATAAATCACTATGTCAATATGAAGATCATTAAGAAAAAAATTAGCAGCATCTTTTTATATAAAAATCAATGTCCCAGAGCGTAATTCCGTGAATTACAAAATATTATGGCCTGTTCTTGCTCTGGGTTAACAGGAAATGACTAAGTGCCAAATTTCTGTCATAAATGTAGTTTTCTACACAATAGAACTACATACCAAAAATGTTGAATTTTGTTAGCATTTATGCTGTCAGTTCTTATGTGTCATTAATATGAAAATTTATGATAGATGTGAAAGACAAGAACTGAAGCAAATGCTTAGCTAAAGTTATAATTAACGTATTATTAAGTACTCTTTCGTAAGACTGAATAATATACCTTGATGCTACTGCAATATCCTCAGCTAATAAAATGATTAATCACATTACTTTAAATGAAATATACCATACATACCATAATATCATAAGAGAGTTTATCAGGCAACGTAGTGAGTCTTTCTTGAAGAGCCTCATAGTCACGCTCCACTTTCATCCTGTTGACAAATGTAGGTTAATTCATTCCTTGCACCAAATACTAAATAAATGTACACAATGAACAATTCTACTTAGGTAGGAGACAGCCTACCATTTGGCTAAATAAACTAATCTTAACAGTTACTTTTAGCAACTAAATATACTGAATCATTTTTGTTTTAAAATCATCTTATTAACAAATCTATTTAGCAATGGCTCTGACCTACATGTTAGAACAAAAACTGAGATTCTCAAAAACAGACTCTAAACAAAACATTCACATCACAAAACTGTATACAACTCTTTCTAAAACCAGTTGTTTCCATGTTTAAATAACGTTTAGAAAAGAGAGGATGTAATTTTTAAAAAAGGCTAGTATTTGGGTAATGGCAACCAAAGAAACAATGAAAGCAGACCTAGTGTGAGAAGACACTAACAGGGACTAAGAAAGGAAAGGAAAGCAAAGATGGCTAAAATGAGAACATTCAGGCCTTTCCTAAGAGATTACAGAAGGAAAAAAAAATAATGCATAAGTTTAACAATATTATGAGAGTGAAGAACACTGATATAGTTATAAGAATTGACTGAAGATCTGTGAATGTTACTCAAGTGTTGTGAACATTTGCCAGAAAAACTTGGGAAATTATAATTAAATATTCCAATTCAATAAACTCAATTATTCACATCATTCTGTGGGTCATGTAAAATGGAAAAGGGGTGAATAAAAGTAGGGCTTTGAAATTTTTTAAATAATTACATTTAAAAGGAACAATTATGTACAAAAATATTTTAAGTTATTTTTATAATGGTAAAGAACTAGAAACTAAGGGGGTGCCTACCAATTCAGAAATGGCTGAATAAATTATGGTCCATGAATATAATGAAATATTGTGCCACAAGAAATGACAAAAGGGTCAATTTCAGAGCAACCTGGGAAGGATTGTATGAACTGATGAAGAATAAAGTCAGCAGAACCAGAAAAACAATTAATACAATAACAAAAATCCTCTAAAGCAAATAACCTTGAAAGACTTAAGAACTCTGACCAATACAATGACCAACCACAATTCCAGAGGCCTGATGATGGATGCATGCCCCTCACCTCCTGACAGTGGGATGGATTCCAGATGCAGAATAAGACACATATTTTTGAACATGGCCAATGTGAGAATTTGTTTTTTTCTTGACAAGAGTTTTGTTTGTCCTTTTTTTTCCCCAAGGTGGGGTAAATAATGACAGGGCTAGAAAATTTAAAAATAAAATATTTTTTTAAAATTGGGCATGGGCCAACCCATATTCTGGGAGTTTAGGTGAAATGGCATCTAAGTTCATTATTTTATCTATTTTATCCCCACAGTTAACTCTGTTCAACTTCTCCCTGAAAATCATTCCAAAATGGCTTAAGCAAAAATGCTCTTTTTCACCATCTCTGGGTTAGTGGCAATGTTTCAAGAGAGTGCTCTGCTAGGATGTAACCCATGAGCACAGAAAGAGTAAATGACAGCTGAACTGTCCAAAAGAGACAATTAAGGAGAGGTGGTAGTGTCAATAGAGAAAACTATGAACAAAGCAATTAGGTAAAAGATGTCAAACACGTGAGAGGGACAGGGGGAAGCGTAATTCACCAATGAAAGATAACTACTCTGACAACGGAGTTGAATAAAAATCATGAGTTTACTTACAACCCTCTGCGTCTGAATCAACAGCAGTATATTTGGTAAGAACAGCAAGTTGTCTATCTGTGAGCTATTTCAAGGACTATCTTATTCACTTTCAAAAACATCAGAGGCAATGTGGCATAGTGGAGTTGGAATCAACAAAACCTAGATTCGAATCCCACTTCAGATACTTGCCATGTGACTGCACTGATAAATCACTTCCCCTCTCTGTGCCTGTTTCTTCCTCATGTTAAGATGACGTTTGACTCTCGGCCTCAAAGGCCCTTCTAGCTCTAGATCTATGATCCATTTTTTGATCTATTGGTCTAATACCAATAAACTCAAATTGGATAAGGAAACTACAAACTAAGGGGGGCAAATTTATGTTAAAAGATCAACAAAGGCCATACAACAAGTGAGTATAAGAACAAAACTAGAACCCATTTTATGTCTAATCTGGTATTTCTTTCCTGTATATTTGCACTTTTTTTCCCTTACAATTTGTTCAGATATATCTCAAGAATCTTACTTACATTTATTTCAAAAACAGGACATAAGATATCTCTGGGGAACATTTTATATAGAAAATACTGCTTTTTCTACATAGTTCCTAAGAATGTCACTTTTTAAATTCTCGGGGGAAAAAAAACATTACCTATGAAATCATCTCTTCCTTACTAAGAAATAAAATTCCTATTATTCATACAAAACTTACTATAAATACACTATGTAATTTTAAAAAATCTTCTCCTTTGGGTTATTTATGTATACATTTTGTACAAGTCAAACACCTTGATGATCACTTAAATGTTGCTGTGTTTAGAGAGCAGTATTAGTTAACACTATATGTTTCTATTTTAAAGCATACATGCTGAGATAAAAAGCTCCCCCAATAAAAAAAATTTTCTCTACGTATTCAAAATTACCAAGTGACTATGAAATTGATACCAGTAAAGAAAGAAAAAAAAATCTCCTTCAAATCAATTTCAGTTCTCTAAGTCATTCAATTCTAAAACTATCAATCATTAACAAGCATTTATTAAATGGCTACTATGTGCCAGGCACTGTGCTACTAATAATAATTATGTTTTAAGGAATATTATATGGCCATACAGGAAAGTAGTTAAAATGTGGGGGTTCAGTTATTTCTGAGATTTTATTTCTCTTATGTTTTCAACAATGTTATTTTTTTGAACCAAACTAAAACTAAATAAAAGCCACTTCAAAGAAAAAAGGATATGAGGGGGAATGTTTTAAAATGCTGTCACTGAAGAAAGTATGCCAGTGGGAGTCAAGCAGTGTTCTTGACTGGAAAAAAACCGTAACCTGAAGAACTCTTCTAAAGGTTGAATTAGTCAGTAAGCCTGAATGTCCAATGTATAATACTTAGCAAGAGAGTGATCTCTAAATAATTATCCTAAACAATTTAATTAGGAGACCACAGCTCCTGCAATACAAGATCAAAAAGTTACACTGACTATACACACACTAACACACAGAAAGGGTTCTTTCTGTTTTCATAAAAGGTTTCAATATTGTTCTCATTCTATTTCTTACTTAATACTTTGAGAAAAAGAAACTTTTACTTAATTCAATTTTGTGACTGAAAAATTATTTTGAACAAACACCAAAGAGACAAAATGGGGCTACAGGCACAGTAATTGCTAAAATTAGTATCCAAAAAAAGAAAAAAAAACTTTTTTCACTCCCTTTCATTTGCCTTTTAAAAATAAAAACTTAGGGATAGAGAAAAGACAAATTTTAGGTATGTGTGAAATACTTGACTCAGGATATGTTTGATAATACAGTCTCATTAATTCTACAGTTGCTTTTTCAACTACATCCAGGTTAGAGAAAAAGTACAAAAAAGTTTTGGTTAACTGAAACAATATAACAATATAAAGCTTCAAATCTCTCATTAAGAATTTCAGCCAAGGTACAAATCTACAGAATATATTCTTCCCAGAAATAAAGGCTTGAAACATTAACAATAAGGAAGAAGTCTAGGGAGACTTGTACCTCTTTCTTTTGTGAGTCCTGCCAATCACACAAGTTTATGAGCCCTCAATTTCTTCTCATCAAAAAAAAAGGGGGGGGGAATGAGGGCATTCGGAGGGGGAGGATAAGAGTGAGACTTAACCCTGCAGATCAGCACTAATCCCCTAAGAAATGTTTCACTTTTAAGGTATTATAAAAACCATAAAAAACAAGAGTGTCGCAATGTCTCTGATCATCTTCATGAATGCAATTGACAAGAAGAATAACTGTTGGGAGAAAGAACCAAGTTCTACATCACTTGCTTAGGATAAAAGTGACACAAGGACTTCTGGGACCAGCTTAAAACACCAAAAAAGAAGGAGATTTAATCACTGGCCAAAAGCAATGAGATTTACTGAATTTGATTTTTTTTAGAGTTGGAAGGTCTTATAAGCAAGAAAAGTTGACTGATGCCAATTCTAACAAATCTTCTGCAACTTTTTCATTAACTAAGTTATTTTCTAATACCTTTGCCTTAAAATTGTATTTTCCCATATATAAATAAAATTCAATGTTGCAAAATTTTATTCAATTACTAAGCTTTTCAGTTTATTTTTTGTGAAAATTCCTTTAAAATGAGGTGTTTAAAGAAACCATGGACTTAAGTGATAACTTTTCAAGACACTAAGTTTCATTTAAGGAAGGTTTTTATAACTATGTCCAATAACTATTTAAGAAGGGGCAATTTCATGAGGCATTTCTAGATTTGGACAGGAAAAAAAAATCACTCTTGCCAAAAATAAAGTCAGAACTCACAACTTTCAATTTAACTGAGTAAATATTTTACTGCACACCCACTACATTTCCAGCACAGAATATATATTGCAAAAGTGCCTCCCAGACGTAACAGTATTTGAATATGAAAGGCAAAAGACTTGAGTCACTGCAAGTTTATAGTCAAGTTGTTACCTTCTTGAAAAAGTATATGGACAGTGTGCAGGGATGGATGCAGGAGTAAGAGACGTGAGGGAAAAAAAATTAAGCTGAATTTTCCAGAAGGAACATGTATTATGGTTTATTAAGCAATGAGAATGGTTTGAGTAATTAAACCTCGCATGTCTCTGTTCCACTGTTTGACATTGTTAAAATGACTATTACTAGAAATGTATAAACTAGTGTATCAACTAGTAACTTTCATGACAAAGTAGTGAATGAAACAAAATTTCTAGAATTAAATAACTATCTGCATGAAATGAGATACTACTTTGTCTCAGGAGATTTAATCAATTTTATAAAAACTTATTTCTACAAAGTAAACATATGTCTTTTTCAAAAAAATAAATCTTTATATTTAACCTACTGTTATTCTCTGCTTTAGCAAATATGAATAAAAATAATGGCTTATATCCTTTAAGATGTTTGTATAAACTTTAAGGTTTACAAAGTGTTTTCCTCTCAACTCCCTAAGATATATAGCCTAAGGACTATTGTCTTCATTTTACAGATCAGTAAAGTGAGGCTGTAAAAGACAAAGTGACTTACCTACTGTTACATGGCCATGTCTAAGACAGAATTCAAACTCTGGTCTCCTGACTCCAAGTCCAGCACTCCTACTGTGCTATTAACAGTTAGACATCTTCATCCAATGAAAACAACACTAGGTTACAGTCAGAGGGACTGAGTTCCAGTTCCATCTCTACCATAAACTATATAATCAGCTAATTGTGAGTTCTTGGCAACTTTTCTGTGCCTCAACTCTCTCATCTTTAAAATCAAGGAAACAGTACCTGCACTGTCTACCTAGTGATGAAAGTGAAAGAAAACAATAGATGAGAACTAAAAAACTAGCAAAAAACAAAGAGTTAAATGTTATAGGAACACCAGGAACTTGAGAGGATGAAGGTGTTGTGAAAGGTACATGTTTTCATAGGGGCAGCTAGGTGGCACCATAATGCACAGAGTGCTGGGACCTTGAGTCAAAAGTCCTAACTTCAAATCCAATCTCCTTCACTTACTACTTGTACGACTCTGGGTAAGTCACAATCTGTTTGTCTCAGTTTCCTCACCTTTAAAATGGAGATAATAATAGCACCTACCTCTAAGGGTTGCTGTGAGGATCAAACAAGATAATAATTAAAAAGCACTTTAATACAATATCTGGCACATAGCAGGCACTATATAAATGTCATTATTGTCACTATTACTGTACAAAACCTAACATCAACAGCATGTCACCTCTAGAAAATTTGGAATATTCAACATTACTATCTTCTATACTTGCAAAATAAAAGTAACAAAACTATGTTTCTTATGAAAAAAATGAATAAAATTTTATTATAAAATAAAGCTATACCATGCTATAGTTCCTTCAATTATCCTTGATAACAGAGAGAAGCAGTGACACCTGCTTGTAAATAAAATTTTTTCAGTAGATCCACCTTCCTATTTTGATTTTGCTTATAACCTAGACTTAGTTTGCATTTACTGAACACAGACTGGTTGGATGGTAAAGGTAAGCAGTTTAGGAATGTGGCAAGTAAGGAAACTTCATTGAGTATGGTTCAAAAAGTAATTATAGTTATGTAATTCAGAATTGTCAATCAAACCTTTATTTTCCCTACCAAGTGACATATTATATTTGAAAATGTCTTTGATGGGTAAAAGTAATGATTTAAACAGTGACAAATATCTATTTCTTGAAAGAAGATTAAATAATTGGAAATGGTCTAATGTCACCTAAACTAAGTCTGGTTAATAAGGTGAATGATCAGACTAATACATTTTTGACTGAAAGAGGATTTCACAAAAAATACATGTACTATAGCGCTGGAGTACTATCATGAGAAAAAAAAACAACTAATCACTGGACCAGATATCTCTCATTTTGTATCAAACTGAATCTCTCAAATGCTTAAGAACTTCTACATAATCAGCCTGATTAACAGTCTCTCCTTGGTAGGATATATCCTACATGAACGTCACTGACATCAAAGCAAAGAAAAGATTAACAGTTTCCTCATTTTTGTTTTTAACAGGTAAACTTCCTTGGTTCTCAGAAATTTTGGAATTTTCCACTCAAAGCTTTGAAGTTGTGTTTACAGATGATAACTAAATACAGAATGTTTCATAACCATGAAATTCAGTTTTTCTAAAAAAATATCTTGTCCAATTTCTCTTTAAAGATAAAAATACACTGAATTTGATCTTAAATAAAATTATATATATACAATGCTTTATAAACCTTAAAGCATTATTGTACTATTAACTATTATCCAGCTGTTATCTTCATTTCTATCATTTTCCATCTCTTATCTTGCATTGATACACCTGTGTAGCAACTTTATGTACTTCATTATACAAATTTATTTCTTCAGCCATCATTCTTGTATTACAAATCTGAATGCCATATTTTGATTGGTCTTATCAACCAGTGCCTCATGATGATCATCTTTCCCCATTTCTTTGAACCGTTTATACCAGTTAGAACACTTACCTTGGTATTAGCTCATCTCCAAAACACTCTTAACATATCACTTTTGCAGATTTGCTTTAACCACACCAGATTTGATACTTTGCCATACCAAAAAAGAAAAGATTCATTTTTATGCTAATACAAAAGATTCATCTATACAGCAAAGCTAATGCTAAACTAGCTGACCTTGAAAGAAGTTCTATTACTCTAAAAATAGATTTCTAACAAATGTGACGGATTTAAAAAAAAAATTTCCTAAGCCAGGAACTTGTATTTTAAGTATTAATCTATGGAATTATATATGGAAGAGCCATGAGGGATTCCCAAATAAAGGTACATTATAGAAACATGACAGATTTAACTGTAGCACTAGTGGGTACAATGATTATGTTGCTCTTATTGAAAATTAATGCAGCCTTTGAATATATATGTAGAACTTATTAGTTTTAGATTATTTTCTGCAAGCAAAGAGTCAAAATTTAATATAATGATTGCACTGATTTTTTTATCCTTACCCACTACTTGCAGACTATGTGCATTTAAACCAAAAAAAAATGGATATACACTAACTATAAATTATTTCCTTGGAGATCTCTCAGGCATGAAGAAAAAGCCCCTTAAAATAAATTTAAAATATTATATGCTTGATGGTGTATAACCAAAGGTTTAATCTCACCACTAACGGGGGCAGTTCCTATGATTCTGCAATAACCCTGCAGACAATAATCAGGACAGCTCCCGTTGTTCTCTCAGTAAAATCTTGGTAAACACAGCATGGCTATATTGTAATTTTGATATCTATAAGCTCACTGCCATACCTCACGGTAACTCATAAGCTTTCATTCTCCATTAAATAACATATTTTCCTCAAATGTCATATGTAAGTGTTATTCAGCAAGCATGTATCCTATTGACCATAGACTGGCACATAAAAATAGCAAGCAACCCATAACATCACCTCTCTAGTAATCCCCCTCCACCAAATCTGTTGTTCTGAGAGGGTGCTGAGACAGGGTAGAAATACGTAAAATTTCCTAAACTTTGAAAAAAATGTATCCTACCACATTTACTTATTCAAAAAACAAAAGAAAACTGCAATATTCTTCTCCACTTCATAAGAATTTCTCTCAAAATAGACCATTTCTAAGATCAGTCAGATTCCAAAAAAAATGGTTCAGTATTTGTTCTATAATATTATTTACATTTTTTTACTCTTAAAAAGAGGGCAATTTTAAGGAAAAAAATATTTCACTGGACTTCGAAACATCTGAGCACAGACATTATAAGCATATAAATATCTGAAAAGAATAAACCACAATAAAACAGCAACATAAAAATTATCATTCAATAACTGTAATAAGAAAATTCAACTAACAGTATAACAAACAATTATTTTTTACTTTTATAAAACACAAGTAGGTTACTTCATCAGTATTTTATGTATGTAATCAAACAGTTTGACTTACCAATGCTGGATCTTTTCTTGGCAGCCAGTGACCACCTGTCATTAAAACAGATAACTGCTCATGAAAAAACAAGGCTCAGCACACAGCTGCAATGTCACTGTATCAGAAAACTACAACAGCAGCTTCACAGATTTCACAGCATCTCTGTGGACATTTTTATTTGTCAATGCACTGGGAAGTGAATGCTAGTCTTTAAGCAGTGTACTCTATCACAACCCTTGAATGCAGGCTGATAACTGCAGGACAAATTACAGCTTTCCATTTCATATTGGGATATAATACCTGCTCCATAACTATTAGGTGACATATGATATAAGATAACTAGGATTTTGCACAATCTATACAAGCATTTTCGATGTTACATATTTTGTAGAATACAAAAATATTATAAATAACAAGATACCAACAGAATATCTACACTTCCTCAGTAAGAAATAAGACTGTAGTGAAACTGTTTCACTTTATCAGTACATCTCCAAGTATTTTGACCTGTAATTTTTATTCTGAAGCACTAAAAATGAATTCATCAATGTTATTCTATTACATTTTCAAGAATATATATTTAGGATAAAGACATACTTTGAACAGCCCATTTTTCCCCATGAATTTCTTAAACCTAGATCCCTAAAGACATTAAACACAAATCTTAGAATATGTTTCTAAACATAACATGTAGCCATTTAAAACTATTTGTATGTTATACTTCCCTGGCTATAAAAAAAACAAGCACAAAAGCTACTTGTTTTCCTGGTCTGATTGAATTAAAATCATCTGTTTAAAAAAAAAACCGTGCTCAATCACACTAAAGCGCTCCCAAAATTGTAGAAAAGGTATGCCCAAACATGACTCAGCTAACGCTAACCAAAAGCACCAGGAAAACATGAATAACAGTACTGAAAACTTATGACCTTTTTTTCTTATACTTCTACCTATCTAACCTAACAATTCCAAGAACTTCAACAGTATGATCCTTATTTAACAAATAAAGAAACTAAAATAATAAAAACAGTGCTAAAATATCATCTAACTTGAGATACACCACCTGGTGCATACCAACATGTGTTCAATATATTTTACTCCAAACTACAAGAATTTTTTAAGCTTCCTTACTAAATTCCCACATTTTGACAATTCTTAACACAAATGTCCTCCTTTACTATCTTTTAAATACTGAGGCAACAATACTATTAAAAAATGCTATAATCATAGACCTAACCACAGTACTAATTCAGAATAAAAAATCAGCTTTAAAATGAAGCTTTCCCAGTAAGTATCAATCATGTAGCAACACTTAATAACAGTGGTAATATATAATAGAGTACTAGCTTTACATCTGGAAGAGCTAGGCTAAAACCACATCAATCCATTTCACTGTTTCAGATTTGGTGGTGATTATAAAACAAACAGAATTAAGTGCAAATTTAAAAAAAGAAATCTTTATGAAATCCTTCTTAAAAGTTCCTATTTAATTGTCCCATTAAAAGATGAGACCAAAAACAAGACAGGATGCTTTCCATCCCCAATGCATGTCTTTCCATGCATGAAGTGAGCTAAAAGCACAAAAAGAAAAGCCCTGCAAACCATAAGAGCAGCATGTTCATTAACCTCTACATGATAATCCTTTCGTAGCTGCATATTAACTAGTTACATATTCATAATCATTTACATTATTTAAAGGACCTTCTATGAAATTTTCTAGGCTATATCCATTAGCAACAATGTTAAAGGTTATAGAAGATAGTCTACTTAATGTTTCCAGGAACACTTTTTAATTAGTAAATATGTAAATTGGATACATATGCTTTTAATGTTTAAAAAACAAGCCACTGGTTAGGATAGCATATGCTATTTCCATCACCCTCTATACTGTCCCCTTTTCCTTTCCCCAAAAAGAGGACATCAATCAATTTTAATTTCATTTTTCCTTCCTGAAATAAGTGAATAGATACTGAAGGGTAGTACAAAGAGTAACTTATTTACTGTTTCTCAGAAGAACAATTTACCACCAAAATATTCCCTTACATAGACTTAGGACCAAAGTATCTACTAATGAGATAAAGTATTTACAGAATCAGATGATAAAGCATTAACTAAAAGTAGCCTAGAGCAGGCCAAATTCTGAGAACTGAGGAAGGTAACACTAACGCTGACCAAGTAAATTTCCCAAAGGGGAATGAAAAAGATAAGGGAAAAAAAGTTTTCTAATAAATACTTTGAATAATCCTTTTTATGTTTGAGGGTTTTTTGTTGTTTTGGGCAACATATTTTTGGTGCAAAGGATTTTGTTTGGGGTCAGGATTTTTTTAATTACTCTTCTACAACGCTGCTGCCTAAGGAAAAAAAATGTAAGGGAGGAAAATATATGACACCTGAGCATACCTGATTTGAACAGTAACAACCACTTAATTTCTTGATGAAATTTAAATAATTTCATGAAACCTCAACTCATTTCTTAAGAGGAACACAGGTTTATTCATTTACATATAAAAATAAACACAAGTGACTTAACTGTAGAAAAGCAATTATTGCAATTTTCAATTTGTTTGCACGAACAGCTATATCATTTGGCAGTAAAATAATGACACTGATTTTGTGTCAAACACAGAAATTTATCTTATTAGTAGTCAACATATATATTTTATATTTATACATAAATGATTATTACATTAAGTGTCACTAGGAACAATTTGATTTTTTAAAGTTAAACCCTACCAAATGTGTAAATCTACTCTATTTTCCTTGGTGTGAAGCTTTTTATCATTTTACAATAAGAAGTTACTAGTAACTGCTGCCTAAGAAAATTGTTCAACCACAAAAAACTGACTGAACAAATTATCTTCTATGTGGTTACACATTCAACCAAGGATTTCATAGTGTAGTAGAACCACTGCAACATGAAGTCAGAATATAAAGGTTTCAGTAACAACAACTTCACCACTTATAAACTACATAACTAAGTGCCTTTAAAAAAGTCATTTCCCCTCTTTTAAATCTGTTCCCTCAGTTATAAAATGGGAAAAACAAATAATTGTGCTTTCATAAAGGGTTAATATAAGGAAAACACTAAAACCTTTAAGAATCTTTTATATGATTTCAGTGGCAGATCTCCAAAGCAGATCTCAATCCACTCATATCTTTTAGATGATAAGATCTAGGAATGGAATAGGCCTCAGCAATCATCCAGTTCACCTCTCCTTTTTCAGATAAGGAACCTGAGGTCCAAACAGGGAAAGTGACCCTACAAGGTCACTGGGACAGTAAGTGGCAGAGCTAAGATTTAAACTGAGGTCGTTGGCTGCAAAATTCAGTCTTCATGACCACTGTGTCACTCCCCACCACCACACACACAAAAATAAACTGGTAGCCACAATCTTCTGATGATGACCCTTTCCAAACTTGGCCAGGTTGATCCTCAGAAGGCCAACCCAATCTTTCCAATTTGGTGGTTCCTGCCAAAGCTTGTACTTCATTGCTTTGTCTATAGTGTGAGAATCCAGGGTAAGATGCCCTCTACCCTCGCGGGGGGGGGGGGGGGGGATGATGATCAAATCTATGATTTCACTAGTATAACAAATGCCCTCTTATCAACACAGATCAGCATCTGTTATGCAGTCTTACAGACATCTTCGAACATATTAAAATACATACATATCACTAAGCTCTCTTTACTAAGAATCAAATCTCAGCTAAATTCATAAAAGATACTTTCTTTACAAGCTCACAGAAGAGTGAAACTGTCACACACACACACACACACACACACACACACACACACACACACACACACGTGTGTATATGTTCAAGGACCACAAGGGGGCATCAACCTATGAGTTTTCCACGGTAAATACAACACTATATTGATACCACATCAGACCAAAAAAAAAAAAACAAAAAAACCAACACTTATCAGGGCACTCTACTTCAAAAAGCTCCAAATGATACATGTCTTTAAATGATGTGCATCTCCTCTAAAGCCATTTTTTAAAATTTTCAATTATTCCTTAAAGGCCTGAGTTAATAAAATGCTAGTTTTTATACTATTTTGATCAAAGTTTTGTTATTAAATGATTTGACTCTTTGAAACATGTATTCTTAGTATTCATCTTGTAATCTGTTTTTAAAATTGCTACTTAAAAGGATATCTCACCAATTGACTGAGGCATTTTGTTACCAAAACTTCAACTACATTTTGGCATAAGTGAAAAATATTTTAATTGATATTTTTGCAAAAAATAGTGCTTTGACAAGGGAGCTAAAAGTACAGGTAGAATGTTCAAAATAATAAGCTTGTAGACATTTTTTTTAAACTATGACAGGTTTTTAAAAATTATCAATTTAAAGTAAATCACTTTTAAATACGTTGTCAAGGAGATATTTGCTCCAGTACTGAGAACATTCTGATGATGTGGAAACCCTCTGTATAACACTCATTTTTTCTCCAAAATTTACCTAGAACAATTCAAATTCAAAATTTCAACATTTACCTAATGTATGTCTTTTATTCCATGGGTTTTCCATCACTTTTGTGAACAGCAGATTCTCTGAGCATTCCGGTATGCCTAGTTTCCTTTTACACAAATAAATTTCTGACTTCCATCTCTCCTCTTTCTTTACACAGTACCTTACTCCCTGTGTTTTCTGCACAGAGTCCATCTGTGCATCTTTCTTCCTTTCAGTATCTTCTCCTACATAGTTCTGAGCATTTCAGTAAGTGTACAGTTCCTTTTCTATTACCACCCATCTTGCTGTGTTAATTCATATCCATTCCTTTATCTCTTACTACACCATACTTGGATTTCTGCGGATGTATACATCTTGCTACATTCCTCTAAGAATAAAGATAAACAGATGTTAATAGGAAAGGTTTCTAATCCTCTTTGGATAAATAATTCAATTATCTACAAATCTAACTGACTATAAAGATGTAAGTCATATTTACTCTTAAATCAAAAACATGGAATAAAACTTGACACTTTTAACTGTTGACACTATTAAGAGTAGTAACCTAACCTAGGAAAGAGAATGTGTCTAGTCA